AGCAATCCACCCACTACTTCACTAACAGTCCTTAAGAGGACTTACAGGAGTAAGCAAGGGACTGAAGCCACCTTTGTAAAAATACTGATGCTTCAGAAGAAGAAATTCATTTTCTTTCAAATTATATTTGAACTGGCATATCTCAGATATATAGTAACATAATAACAACATATTTTACTTATTTTCTAATGTGGTAAGAGTAACAAGGATTGCAATTGTATGTATTTTGTTTTGTTTGGGAGCCCCATCACTATCCTTTGGGTATATAAAGTTAATTTCACTGCTTTGTATGTATTTTTATAATAGTATTGGGATTATTTATTACAACTTGGCCAAATAGGTTACTACAGAGCAGAACTTCCCAATCAGTGCACTAAGACACAATGTGTTTAAACTTTGGGACACATGGCTGCTTCCTGTCCTCATGGTGACCTGACTGGAGCTGGAAGAAATAGGAACATGCATACCTGTCAATAGTCAGGATAATCCTCAAGTATCTATTGCAGCTTGCAACAAATACTTTAAAGTGCCATTTTATAAGAAAATAATGCTATGGGGCATGAAAAAGCTTTGCCTCATTTTACACAATGAAGATCTCCATCCATTTGCTAATTACTCATTAAGGATAAAGTAACTAGTTGATGCTTGAAAGATGTATTCTTTAGACTTGAGAATCTTCAAATTTGTGAATGTTATTTTACGGTATGATTTTTCTTAATATAATGCTTTCAAGTTTATCTGAAAAATTAAGCAGTCATTTAATAAGTCAGTAAACAAAGGACTAAAATTATTTTGAAGCTATTAAAATAAAGTCTGATTGAAACACCCAATGGCGTAGTATTATAGCTCTCCCCGCCCGCTTACATATAATGCTAATGTGATTGCTTACATATAATGCTAATTCATTGTTTAACTCAAGGCCTTTCTCTCTTTTGGCTAATAAACTGATTTAATTTTCTAAAACATTTTTCCCCATTTATGTTGCCAGAATTAACAGTTGAGTTTGTCCTCTGTGCCTTTTGTCTCTACAGATAGAGTTGTTATCACTGCATAAGTGACTGTATGTGAGGATACTAGAAGCTAGGCCATGTAGGTAGTAGGGAGTAGGAGACCATGTCCATGTCAACATGATTGATTTTTTGCATATGGTGCTGGGGAAGTAAAATTCAAAATTATGCCTCAATAAACTATACATGTATCATGATTCCTATATGCTGAAACAGATATGCAAATGTTAAATCTTCCAAAGTAAATCATCTACTAAGTGGATTTTCTTTCAGGGTTATGTTTTGCTTTACCTATGTGTAAGAGTTGAAATACTATCTTTTTATTGCTTGGAGATTCAGCGGTTGAAACTATGGGAAAAAACTGTTTGTAAAGAGAATTTAAAAATTGTTCTTTTATTATATACGCCACTGAATTCACTAATGAGGTAATTGAATAAAGTTGTTCTCCAGGGGCGAAATAAAAGAACATTCCATATGCCAATCTATTTATCTCCTTGACCCACCTCTGATCACACTCTACCCTTTTCTGTCTGCACACTTGGTTTGTGTACAGGTCAAATTACCTCCTTTTTTTTTTTTTTTTTAATATCTTTGCCTTGGCAGGAGAGTGCTGTGATTCAATTGGGCTGTATTTGGCCACTTCTTTTAACAGCACCCCTTCAAGCAACAATAAAAAAGGTAGTTTTTGTATTGTTCACAGAAGAAAATACATACATGATTTGCATTGACTAAGGAAGGGACATCTCTTTCTTTCACACATATAAGTAAAAGTTTTCATGTTACTACTTAATGGACTCATTTAAAAATAGTTATCAAACAAAAAAATAAGACATATAAACACTAGATCTTAATAAGCACTATATCTTAAATAAAAACATTTGCTTAAATCTAGACTCATTGAACTTGGGAGTTTTCCATCAGTTATGATTTTAGAAAAGCTTTATCTTCTGATTTTTGTTCAATTGTCAATATCTTTCACTGTTTAACTTTATGAATACTTTGTAGCTGTATATACCCCCACTTATAGGAAGCTGAAGCAGTTAATGATTTGTTAAGCATCTGTATGCTTAAAAATCCATCAAAGATCTTTAAAAAGATATGTCTAACTCTAAAAAATGTCTTACAAGTGAGTTTTCATTTTCAGTTATTTTTAACAAGTCAGGCACAACAGCATTTATGTACAAAGGCAGAGTTCTCTAAACCTATTAGTGATAATAACTTCTGGTCATGATTTGGCAATGTATTAGGAATTTTCAAGCATTAACAGTCAACTTTTAATAACCCTCATATGTGCATATTTCCTTATTAATTTACCTGAAGCACTAACTGAAGATTTAAAGACCATAATAATATAAGCCCAGGTAATTCAATCTCAGAGAAAAGAACAGTAATTTGAACCCATGTATATTTGAATGAAAAACCTATGCCCTTTATTTCATACCATATTTGTGCATTTTCCCACTTTGAGTCATTTTTAATGTCAGGAAATTATATCTTCCAGAGACTCATGTGTCTTACTTATGATAGTTTTCCAAAACAAAACAGATTGGTCTTCCCTTTTCTGCCTCTGGTGCTCATCACAAAATTAATTAGGTTTTTTTCCCTGTGAATAAGGTCATTGATTCTTAATACCTAGTGAGCTTTGATTTGTTTCCTCCATTAGCTTAGAGTCATATTCCCTCACTTTCTTGTCTTTTATGCAGTGAGAGCACAGAGGGGACCACTCTGTCATGTCATTCACTAAGAGTAAACCAGGCAGTATTGAAAAATTAACTCAGACACTTGGAAAAGCAGGTCCCCACAGACCTGATACTATTCACTTAAAAACCATTTATGAATAAATGATATTGGAGCAGGGAAAAAGGGACTCAATCAAGTTTGGTACCTTCCTCCTCTTCCAATTCCATTCCTTTCTTAATTCTAGACACAGAGCCCTTAATGAGCATCTGCTATGTGTTAGTCACTGATAAATACTTGGATGAGAACACAAGACATGTTAGAATAAAGGTCAAACCTGGCTTAGAGAAGGGACTGTGCAAGCCCAAATCAGAAGGTTTCTCAGCTTCTTCACTCTGCCTGTATTGGTGTGCTAAAGCTGTCAAAAGAAAAATCATAATCTGGATGGTTTAAACATTAGAAATTTGTTCTCTCAGTTCTGGATAGTGGAAGTTCAAGATTAAGTATCAGTAGTGTTATTAGTTTCTCTGTAGGCCTGTATTCTTCACTTTCAAATGATGACCTTTTCTCTGTACATGCATCTGTTATCATTTTCTCTCCCTATAAGGATACCTGTCTTATTGGATGAGAGGGTCATCCTTATGACACCTTGACCTAATTACCTTTTTATAGTCCCTATCTCCAAATAGTCATAGTGAGAGTTAAATATGAACTTGGGGAGGACACGATTCCATCCATAGCAATTCCTTTTACATAAATGTGCACTAGGAAGAGATCAAAGAGAGTGAAAGACCTTATGTATGGTATTCGGAACATGGATATGGATACTGGAGACTGATGCTCAAATCCTGGGTCTGCCACTTTCTTGTGTTAATATTGGTCATTTCTTAACTATAGGTCATCCTTCAGCACAGGGTCAATAAGAGCACTGCCTCTTAGGGTTATTACTGGTTGAAACTGGAGCCACCCATTAGTGATAAATGAATAGTTTTAAAAGTTTTAAAGAGGGACTTACTCCTTTTTCTCCTTTCTATGTAACAACGTAGGAATTGTGAAAATGAAATGCAGGAGAAAAAAATGAAGGAATTCAAATATTTTAATCGCAAATACTAACATACACTAATTTTTCTTAATTATAATATTTATTCTATATAATAGTAGTGAAGATAGGTCTAACACAGAGACAGAGACTTTACATTCTTAAATTTGTAGCTTAAATTGTTCCTCATTGAGCACCTATTACCTATTAGATTGGTTCAGGCAATTGGGAAACAGCAGTGAAGAAAATGAACAAAAATTACAATTCTAAAGCTGAAATTCTAGACTGGCTATAGGTAGCCTCCATATTAAAAATCCATTTCAGAGCCTCCCTGGTGGTGCAGGGGTTAAAGACAGCTCTATCAAGCTATCAGCAGCCACCACAGCATTAGTTTGAGCCCAGGCCAGGGAGCTACCCACATGGCACAGCAGACCTCTCCTGTCTCGCCCACTGCTCCCCTCAGCAGTGTATTTCAGTCAGTCTGCCTGTTCTGCTCCCCACTCTGTCTCTGGGGAATCCTCTCACCCCCCCCCCCGCACCTCTGGCCTGTACCCCAGTTCTTGCATGCATAAACAAATCTTAAAATAAAATAAGCATCCATTTCAGGAGTTGGGGAAAATGAGACCCACCTAATTAAAAATTTAAAAAAAGCTAATCACTTTGCAAAGCCAGAAAGTAAATTGCTATTTATCAAGTGACCAGAAAATATAAAGGAGCACTACTAATTGAGACTGTTGTGCGAGCACCCTCAAGCGCTGTCCTGAACCCTCAGATGCCACTTTGATTTTTCCTGACCCTACACCCTGACACCGAAGCGGATTGTGTGACCCGCTCCGCCTGAACGCCTCGCGCCTTGCGTGGGCGGGAGCCGGGTTCACGGGATTGGACCCCGCGGCGAGGTCCCCGCCAGCCCCCGACGTGCGGTGCCGAGTTGGCCGGCGGCGAATCTCATAGGCGCGGGTTTTGAAGCCGCGCTGCTCACCCAGAGGCGGAGCGCTGCAGTCCCTACCCCAGGACCCGCAGCCCGGGGCCGCGACCTGCAGGTCTTGGTCCCGGCGCGGCACTCGCCAGAAGTGCTAGTGACTTTGGCTTCGGCTGAGCCTCCAGACCCGCGTCACCATTTTGACAGCCCCGCACCAAATCAGAGGGCTGCGCTCGCCGGGAGCCCGGGCGTCACCCGGAGCTCGGGCAGATTAGAACTCGCCTCTCCTAGCTCCTCCCTCAGTCCCATTTAAAACTCCCACCTGCTTTACTGAAAAATTAAAAGTGGGCTCAGTTTCTGCAGCGCCTTCTTCCAGTGCAAGATGGTAAGTGAGGAGCTAGCGTTAGCAACTCTGCTGGGGAAACCTGGAGGTGGGGTGGGGTGGGGTGGGGTGGGGTGGGGTGTCTCTCTGCTACCTGCCAGTTAAAACGGGTCTTCTCTAAAGCCCACCTCCCTTCCCTTTTACTCTTACTCTCTCTCTCTCTCTCTCTCTCTCTCTCTCTCTCTCTCTCTCTCTCTCTCTCTCTCTCTCTCACACACACACACACACACCCTGCCTCTCTCCTCTCATCCTTTTACCTTCTCTGTTATTTCAACTGTCTGTTCTTTTTCTCCCTCTATACCTGCACTCTCTTTTCATGTCACCTCTTCCTCTAGATTATGCACATATTTGCAAACACTTGGGCTTGACCTAGTCTAGGGGTATTTGGGGTTTGTTTTCTTCTCAGGTGTCAATTGCATAATAGCTCAGCTCTGATTCCAATAATAACCTCAGGGAAGGAGCCTGCAAACATACTTTTAGAATAAAAGAAAATAGCACTTGATAAACTTTTGGCTGAATTTCTTTGGTCTGCGCTGCCCAAGCTGGGCTTGAATCAGAACTGGATCTGAAACTTAACTTTCCAGACCATTAACAAAGTGTGCCTTAATTGAGTTAACTTTTTTTTCTCTTCTTATTTGTTTTCTCTCTGTTTATGTTATGGCCGAGAAAGTCCTCAAGTCAACAAAAGACTTGTAGTGGTCCAAAGGAATTTATCCAAAGCTGGGCTTTGCAGAGATGAATGGTTTTTACCTGATTAAACATTGGCAAATCATTAGGAATGGGCTGTTACACAAATTAACCCGAAGGGCTGCATACCTGTGCCTGCCTGCACATTTGCAAAGATTGTGTGTTTGAGGTTTGAGGAGTCAGGGCTAGGAAGGTGTTCACTGGCTTGGAACACAGTGGAGAATACATGCCAGGCAATTAGTGGTGGCAAGATAACTTTGGAAGGGCACTGAGACCTAATGATGGAGAGAGCCAGAGCTTGCTGTCGTTGCTAACTTATTTCAGCTTTGATTATGTGCTTACTTGGAGTAATTTTATATTCCTGTGTTTGGAATTAGGAGCAAACTTTTTAAATTGATTTAGTTATTCCTAAAATACGAATAAATGAGTGTGTGTGTGTGTGTGTGTGAGAGAGAGAGAGAGAGAGAGAGAGAGAGAGAGAGAGATATTGAGAGATAGAGAGACACCAACCATTCAGACCATTCATCCACATTTAAAACCAAAAGGAGGATGGGAGTAATGGAGCAAGTTTATATTTCAGGAACTATGTGATGTCCTGTCCATTCTAGCCTCAGAATTCTGGGTCTTTGCTGTTCAAGGTTATTATAAATATACTTAAGACATTTCTAGAAAAAGTCAAGTAGTTCTTATGTCTTTGAATTATTACATAGGATTCATTTTACCGAGATGCCAGGTAGCCTAAGATATTTACAAGTCAAATCCATCCAATGCAAGCATGTTTTCGCTTAGAGGACATAAGGAAAGTAATAGGTATTCCAAGCAAATGATTTTCTTTTAGTAAGTATGATTTGACCATTCAACAATAATCTGGATCTATATTTCATTAGTTTTGATTCACTGCATGTAATTTTTGCATCTTCCTCCTACCCATTTCTCCTCCAAATTCCTATCATCCTATCTCTCACTGACCACCCCTCCCGCCCCATACTGAATTTCACAGAACACCATTCTGCCTTGCCAAGATCAGTACTTTGAAGGAGGCCAGAGCTATAATTGCCCGTATTCCACTACAACGTCAGAATCTAGTGTTGACGTTTCCACGGAGACTTGGGTCTCTTTTTGGTCTGCTGGTCTCCTGGACAACAGAGAGCCCCAACAAGCACCACAGGCACAGGGTAAGTTCTGCTCTTCTGCTTTCCTGGTAGATCTGGAGTTCTTTTCCAGCACCTATACTTGCAAAGCATCATGGACTGGATCTGTGTAGAAAAAGGTGTGATATGGAAAGTATAAGAAAGCCCAAAAATGCCTGCATTTTACAAGTGAAATAACATGCTTTTTTGTACTTGCCAAATAGTGACGGTGGGATTCTACTGCCCAGTGGGCAATATGTATTTTTCCTTACACATAAGAGTTCTTGGAAATTACAGACCCAATGAAGGAGTTTGGATCTGGCTCAAAGTTTTATATACAACATTAGCAAGATGCTTTTGGAGTCAGGATTATAGTTGGATCATTTCTGCTGGAATTCAGGAAAGTTTCCCTGGGTATAAGAGAATAAAAAGGAGGGATACTCAATATTTTGTTTCATAGAAGAAATTCTATGAACGCTCTTATAAGTAGAAAAGGTGGTTCTTTTTTTCACAAAGAAAGCTTCAACTTGAAGGGGTATACACCACAGCTGGAAAATTACATATTAATTTGGATATGGGGCTTAGTAAATGGTATTTATAAATATTAAAGGAATTCCTATATAAATAGTCAAATTTCTGGAAAAACTCTCAGATATCTCCAAATTTAATATCTATACTGTTCTGCCTCATGATTTTTTTTTTGGATTTAAGAAAACATACAAGTAAATGAAAAAAACATTAAAATATTGAAATATAGTCATATGTCAGGAAGGATGTTCAATTTTAACTCCCCACAATAAACAATAAAGAAAACAGAATGCCTAAGAATCTGAAATAAAACTGTATAAAATTTTATTCTCTTTAGTCATCATTTCACTTTAATAAAAACATTTCAGAAATATTTCAGTTTAAGTAGAAGAAGGCAAGAGTCATAACTTTCGTGGACCAAGAAAAGAAAGTAAAAAGTATGCCAAGTTAGCATACCCATGCAATTATTGTCAGGTATAGTGTTCAATTAAATATGGAAAAAAGCAGTTTGAAAAAGTATAGAAGACATCCAGACAATAGCATTCAAAATACATGAGACTGGGAAAAAGACTTGAGGTTTTAGTAAAGGTCTTCAAAGAAGGTTAAATTTATTTTAAGATTGAAAGTACTAGCTTTAGACCTCTGTCAGATTTACTGACAGGCAGGCAAGCAGAGACTTTTCTCTGGGGAGAAATGAAATGATACCATTACAAAATAGGATTTGATTCTCCAGTCAAACACTATACTATCAAGGACTAAAGCTTAGAAAATATAAGATAAAGACTTGAAAAATGGTGAAATTGCATTGCTTTACAGATTGGGGAGAGAATCTATAATTACTTGAGTGAGTAAATTATGTATATGGAACAGTTTTTATAAAATTTGACAGTAATAACATACTTATTATGGAGGATTGTCACCTCTGCAGTAGTCACATTGGCATATACTCCATAAATATTTGTCTTTCATAATGTGCTGACCTCTTCTGAAAGCTTTAGATATTTTGTTTTCATATGTGGAGGCAATTGCTATTTTTAGAAAGGTAACAACCTATTAAACTTTCTGAAATCCTTGGGTGAATTCTTTATTGCATACAAACTTCAAGTGTTTATTTTTGGTTTTCCATTTGGTATTGTCACACAGAATCATGCGGTGACTTGAATTTCCCGGTTCCTAACTCATGTTCATGGGAAGAGGCTCAGCTTTCCTCTCAGCTCTATAGAAACAAGCAGGTATGTGTGGACCATCACACAACTCAGACTGGACATGTCCCATGCAGTCCATTCTTGAGGTCATCCCTTAACGTCTCATTGCTTCTTTTCCTTTGCAAAATTCAGATGTCTACTTTCAGGTGATATATGCCCACAGAAAGAACAAAGTTAACTAATCTGTATCACAGAAAAAAATCCTCACAATAACAACCACCAACAAACTGTAGGAAGATCTGTAGTCAAGCCCTTTATATATTTGAGCTGTATGACCCTTAGATCTTCCTTTTCCTTTCCTGTGGGCTTAGAATGTTTGTGTTACCTACCACAGAAGGCTATTAGAAGGATCAAAATGATATATAATGAGGGTGATAGTAGTTTTAAACCATCAACCTAGTTTATCACTTGGAAGGGATGATCATTATAAAAGTTTTTTCAAAGATTGCTTCATTTTCCACTTTTTATTTGTTGCTATTCCTGAAAGAGTAATTTAATCAAGTGGTCATACAGACAGATCAATTTGAGACTGAGAAAAGCCAACCCACCCTCTTTTTCTTTTTCTTTTTTTCTTTAATGTGCAAGGAAGGAACCAAGCAAAATCTTTCTAAACAACTTTTTCTATATTTAAACAGTTGCACTCAGCTCATTTTCCTACATACTTTCCCAATTCCCTTGTGGTTACAATTTTAAAAGTCATATAATCTCTTCAAATACCTTGCTGTGAATAAAAAATATTCAAAGCACAAAACTGAACAATCAGGTGGTAGGTGGGTGTAGATTGAATTTAGGCCTCTGAGGACTAGGGCTCCCTGAGGTTTATTTCATAAAACAAACAGAAAAATAATCTAGTTTAAGCAGGTTAAGGATCAGTGGCATTATTATAAGGTTACAAAGTCAATATAGTAGAGTAGCCTTCCCCATTGTCTGCTTTTTGCAGCTCCAAGATACACTGGTGCAGAAGGAAGAAGAACTTGCTAGGTTACATGAAGAGAATAATCATCTCAGACAATACTTGAATTCTGCTCTAGTTAAATGTCTTGAAGAAAAGGCCAAGGTATGTAACCATCCCCTTTATCAGGACAGAGCATTTGAGAAAAGAGGTCATTTGGGTAAACTCTGATTAAACATAGCAAATCTGCTAAACAATGTGCCTTGATATGCACTTATAGAGTGGATGAATTTTTCTGAAGGAAATATAGCAATTTCACAAACATTTTTGTGTCTCATTTCTCTGAAGTATCTAGATTGCAGAATTTATCCATACATTACAAAAGGAATGGATTAAGAATCAAAAGCAAGTCAAGGGAATTGCTAAGCTAATAAATGTTCATCAAAGGACAGAGTTGGATGGAAAACTGGAGTGTGGGAAAAGATCTGAGAGATATTCTGGTCTTTTAATTATCTGTTTAACTTTAGCTAGATCAATCACTTGTCAATGAAGGCCTCAGTTACCTTCATTTGTAAATGGATGGGCTAAAAGAACTTTCAAGAATTACCCCAATTGAAAATGCTATGAATGTGACTGGAACCCAGATCTCTGGGGCGGTGTATTTGTGTGTGTGTGTGTGTGTGTGCTTATAGAAAGAGAAAGAATTGACATATAGCATTATATTGGTTTCAGCATGATTCAATATTTGTACATATTTTTAAATAATCACTGCAATAAGTTTATTAACACATTACCTTTTAGTGAACATTTCCCCTTATACTTTAAAAATGAACTATTTCTAACACAAAGATAATTCACTTGCCCTTTGTCCCTTTTTGTTCTTTTTTTCCTTCTTTGAGTTTTTATTTTTGTCATCTGTTTGCCTTTCTGTCATCATTATTGCTTCTATCATTAATCTTTACCTTGCTTCTAGCCACCCTACATCATTTGATATTTCCTCTAATGTTATGATGCTTCCTACTGCACTTACCAGATACAATACTTCAGAGAAAAAAAGAAGAATGGATTTGACTTCTTTGCAATTCATTTAGTTTTATAAAGAAAAAAAAAAAGGAGTGCATCTCATGGTTATTAACTGGACTCTAATTTCCAGTCAGTATCTTGTAAAAAAAAAAGGGGGGGAGGGACATTTATTAAAAATTAGTGACACTATTTAAGCAGTTTTCTCTCTCATTCTCAATTTAGCAAGATTTAGACTACCGTACATGTCACATGAGAGTGCTGTGAAAGTAAATGAAATGAGAGAAAGTGGGGTTACATGGTCTTTCAATCAGTGGTTGTCTTTAGATTCAGATGATTTAGGTTTACTTCTTGGTTGTATGAACCTTAACAATTCTCCAATATGAATCTGCTCAGTTTACTCTTTAAAGGAGTTTTTAATAGTATTTATATAAAATGAGATCCTGTATATCACATGTGCCCAATATACGATAGTTTTTATTATTGTTATAATATTCTTGAATCAAAATTATAAAAACATCATTTACTTCACACAACTTCTAAGTGACTAGTAAAAAAATATGAACTGGAGTTTCTATTTGGTAACTTGCCATCATAGATTTCAAATTTTAAGCAGAAGTTAATGCAAACAGTTTTACTATAGTGTGTATGTGTGAGAATGTAATCAAGTTTTCTCAAGAATTAAGATGACTAATAAATAGTTGAAGGAGGTGCAATTAGACAAAAGCAAAGAAAATGATTGTGGTTGATTATCTGACTGTGTATGTTTCCAAATATTACTTCCTCAGAAATTGCTGTCATCAGATGAGTTCTCCAAGGCATGTGGCAAATTCAGAAAGGGGAAGAGGAAACCCAAAGAGCAAAGATATTTTCCTCCTGAGATTCCCTATTGCAAAAATGCCAAGAGAAACCTCTCTAGTGAATTTGCTAAATGTGAAGAACAATCTGGGCCCCCTGTAGATCCCTGGGTCCTTCAAACGCTTGGGTTAAAAGACCTCAATACCATTGATGACACCTTATCAGCTAACTACAGTGCCCTCTCCTCTCATTCCAGAAGAATCACCAGCACATTTCCCCAGTTTCCCAGTGATATAGTTGATTATGAAAATATCCCCAGGGAAAATCTGCCAAATGACTATGGAGATGATAGAACAACCCCCTTGCACAGCACTGCCAGCCAGAGGGAAGATTTTCACTTCCTTTCTCAACTTTCAAATCCCCCAGGAGGGCTGCAAACGCTTCCTTACTATACTTCTGATGTGTCACCCAATAAAACAGAGATGGCCTTTTCCACATCCCTGAGCCCTCACTGTAATGTGAAAACTCATTCCTTCCACCAGGGTCAAGCCTTTGTTCGTCGAGATGAGGAGGGAGGCTGGAAGTTTACCTGGGTCCCTAAGCAGTCTTAGTGACCCTTCTTCTATTACAAAGGACTGCCATGAACTTTGTTTACAAAGACCTCAGTTGCACTTGAATCAAATGTGTGGAATACAAAATTATTGCGCAGACTGTCTCCTGTCACTTTAAATGTCAAATGTAATTACGTGCTTAAATCTGCAGGGAATGACTTCCAAGAATCCATAGTGAAACATGCCTGATCTTCTTTCACCTGAATTTGATTTGTTTACACACCAACACCTGCTGTTGACTTCCTGCCTTTGCCCTATACTTGAAAAGGTATTTTCCAATTGCCTGTATATTCCTTTGAGACCTACATATATTGTTCCAATTATAGAAAATCTAATAGTTCTTTTGTTAAACAGTTTACATGTTCACAGTTTTCATCCTTTCACTTTTATCTCTCTCTTGTTCTTTGTTTTTGAAAACTGTCTTTAGAATGAGGATTTATTATTGCTCACCATACTGGTTAGAAGTGTTCTAATAGTTGGGGGTGGGATAGAAATGGGTGTCTTTGCCTATCAACATTCCTGAAGACTGAATGTAGATGTGAATATTGTATCCAGGACAGTTCAGTAAGTTGAGTTTCCCAGGTGGAGTTGATAGTCTCTTCAAATAGCTGTAACTCTACCTCTAATCAATAACTTAAAAGATTAAAGAGAATTAAAATTACTTCCAAATATCCCAGAATGTATCATTTTCTCTAGGTATCCGACATTGACTCCTTAACCAACATGGCCCAAACAAGAATGATTTTGAGGGACTTGTAATAGAACAATTATCATCTTAATCTACCCAGATGCTGACCAGACTTCTATTCCTGAGAGTGGAGTCTAATCTAGCTCTGCCATTTTCTCATTCATCCAGTCTTTTTCACGTATTCATTTTTTTCATTCATTGATCCACCCAACATATTTGTAGAGTGCCTCTATACCAGACACTGTGGGGAGGTGATAAATGTGAACAACTTGAGACTATGGCCACTCTATAGTTAATCATGAGCTATCACGTTTAGAAAGCTACTTCCCTGGTATGAAGCTTCAGTTTTCCCAGCTGCAGAATATAGGAGGTGGACTAGATAATCACTAACTATACTTTGTGGCTAGTGCTAATCGCTAGTCAATTCAAAGTGAGGCTGAGTCCCATCATCTTCCACACTGCCATCTTGGTCCCTATTCTCTTTGGATTTGATAGGCACTACAGATACTAATTAATAAATTTTATAAGTAATTAAAAAAAACAGTAAGCTATTTGCAGTTAACACTAGAAACCATTCCTCTGATCACAGTATTCTTTTTCTAATCTAAGTCCACTTGCAGATTATTTGAATCTAGCTGTGTGAAAACAACTCACTTCAAAAAAATTGGAACAGGGCTTCCACCATGGTGCAGCGGTTGAGCCCTGGGTTGCAAAGCTGCCTGCAGCCTCTGCAGCGCCGCCGGTTAGATCCCCGGCTGCCAGGCTAGGGTCCCACGTGGCGTGCAGACTTCTCCTGCTGCCCGCTGCTCCCCTCAGCAGTGTATTTCGTCAGTCTGCCTATTCTGCTCCCTGCTCTGGCTCTGGTGAATTCTCTCACCCGCACTTCTGACTGTACCCTTTGCTTGTATAAATAAATAAATAAATCTTTAAAAAAATTTAAAAAAGGAACATATTAATTTTTAAATAAGTGTGTATAGATTTAAGACAAATGCTGACATCAAAATTTTTTGAGTTATTTATTTATGAATATAGGAACTGGGGTATATGCCAGAGATGTGGGGAGTGAAAGGATTCACCAGAGAGAGTGGGGAGCAGAACAGGCAGATATACTGAAATACACTGCTGAGGGGAGCAGTGGGTGAGACAGGAGAGGTGGCACCAGGTGGGCTGCTCCCTGGCCTGCTGGGGATTGAACTAGTACTGCAGTGGCTGGCAATAGCTTGATGAGCACTGTTTTTTTTTTTTTTTTTTTTATAGAGGCATGTTTTTCTTTCTTTCTTTCTTTCTTTGTTTGTTTGTTTGTTTATACATGCACTGGGTACAGTCAGAAGTGCGGGAGGGTGAGAGAATTCACCAGAGCCAGAGCGGGGAGCAGAGCAGGCAGAAGGACCGAAGTACACTGCTGAGGGGAGCAGCGGGCGGCAGGAGAGGTCTGCGCGCCATGCGGGACCCTCCTCCGGTGGCCGGGAAGCAGCCAGGGATCGAACCGGCGCCGCAGAGGCCGCGGGCAGCTTCGCAACCCAGCGCTCAACCGCTGCGCCACCGGGGAGGCCCGATGAGCACTGTTTTTAACCTCTGCGCCTTGACATCAATTTTTTTTATAAATAAAATAAATGTATGTTAACACTCATGTTAGTTCTTTTTCCCCATCCTCCAAGTTCCTTACTCTTCCCAGAATAATTCACATATCAAAGATATATACCTATGTTTTTTAGGACCATAAGTTAATGATAAAATCTATTGAATGCTTTTTGCATTTTCCTTTCCCCATCCCTAAATAAGTCACCATGTACAATCAGTCCGAGAGTGTTCCTGTGCTCTTACAAAATCTTTGTAATTCAGATATGCCCTTCATACCTGTTGCTGTCTCATTTTTGCTTTATTTTGGTGATGTGAGCAAATAATCTATTTTACAAATTTTTGTTACCATTTAATTTTGTATAAATTCATGAAGTATAATCCAAGATGTTAATATTATTATTGGGATTATTTTTTATGATGTACAAAGAGATAGAACACTTTCTATTTTTTCAAACAAGATCACATACACAACAATAGCTTTGATATTCTAGAATCTGTGCCACTGGTGGATAAAATATATCTCTTTTTTAAAATAATAAATTTAAGATTAGAATTGATTGTACTTTAATAGATCTGGAGTCAAGAAAACAACACAATTATTTTGAAAGTCTTAATCATCAAGCTGTAAAACAAAATTGATCAGTCAACAAATGCTTATTTTTCATTTTTCATGTGCTTTGCATGTTATGTACCAACAGCAAATAACTAGACTTAGCACAATGCATTTGGTATGTAAAATAAAGCCACTAATTGTAATAAGTGAAAAGTTGGTCTTAACCTGGTTTAAAAAAATTGCAACACACTTATGTTAAGTTATGATAATTTACTGTCATCATGGATGACTTGGGAGAATATTACCACTTCCTTTTACCAATCATATCTACAGACATTTGATATTCATTGTATTGTAGATAGAAAATTATTTTGTGGATGTTTGAGAAACTGGCAATTTCTCTCATCTGAGAATAGGACCTTTTATGATTTTACCATGCCCCTCCAGTGAAAGTAGTTAATGTTTACTAATCTAAGAAATAAAAATTGAATACTTTTGTGATTGTGATGAATATTTTTATATTGTGCATAACACGTTCTAATAGTAGATTTTCTTCTCCTAGATTTTAACCATAATCTTGTTGATTTGTACCTCTTCTAGATAATGAATATGGCCAGACTAATGCCATCAGCTTTTGGGGCTTAAGAGCTCTTTCCCTTCTCAGGGATACATTAATGAGGCTTTCAGATGTTAAGTGGTCTACAGAGTCTCTTTTCTAACCTCACAAAAAAGTTAGAATCCAGTATCAATATTTTGAAATTTCATGATAATTCTGTGTCCTCTGATCATCTGAAAATAAATCATACTCCTATCTTACTATTATTTAGAAGACAAATGCAATTGGAAAGTCTCACTTTTGCAGGTGACATTTCGTAAATGGAATTGTTTGATTCTGCAGTATTGCTAAATTATAATTTAGGAAAATTGAAGAAAAGAAGCCCCATGGATCAATAGAAAGAATTGCTCTATTTGATCTATTTCAAGAAAGTAGAAATATTTTTAAAAAGTGTGACAAATTAATTCAATGACAATTCTATATCACAGGTGCATAAGAAAGTATAGAGCTAATAGATCTAGTGATATTTTTGATAAATTTATTTCTTGCCTGTAAAGTTGAGACACACTATTTTCCTATTTTTATCTTACCAAATGATTGACATTCAATAAAGCTTAAATGCACCACCTATTCTTTATTTTCACTAAATCAAATAAAACTGGTTTATAAGTTATAGTTATATGGTATAATTCTATTTCTTAACACGTTTTTCAAATTTTTACCTACATTTTTCTGTTATATGAACATTACCAGACTGCTTGTAATTCCTACATTGGATATTCTATAAATGTAAAATTCAATTTAACCCTTAATATATTAAATAATTATGATTTGTTTGTGATTTAAAATATTTCTAATTATATGTAAGAGTAATTTTGTGATGAATTTATGTCTAATAAATATGTGACAAAACTTAATCTTATTTTATGCGCTTATTTTAGAAACAATTTTTTAATGTTTCAATGAACTAAGAAAACTTTTTCTTTACTTATTTCTGCCATAAATTTTATGTGATAGAAAAGACATTTTATTTCCAAAAATGGTATGTTTAATAATTGAGGCATTTATTGAACAGATAAAACCTGTGTCTGGCTCTGCAGAAGAAATAAAGATGAAATATGTATTTGAACTAACATGGTTATAAACAAGAGAAACATGACTTAAGCATGTTCAATTAAAACAAGGGAATAATTAGCTTTCACGATCGAAAAGTTTATTCTTCAGATATAAGTATATCTAGATGCTCAAGCAATACTCTCAAAATCTGGTTTGGGATCTCAAGGAAGACTGATTTCGAATGGATTCAGGAATGGTGTTAAGATCATGCACGCCATGCAGAAGCATGACAGAAATGAAGATAGAACAGTCATTGTGAACTCAAACAGCAGCATACTATATGCCATACAATGTTTTCCAGTTCCATGACATTCTCCTTGTCCTTCATGTCCGTAATCCCCCTAATTGAATAAAGTCTTAGTAAAATGTTCCACTCTGGTTGTAGTTATATCACAAGAAATTAGGAAAATTGTGAACAGATTTTCCCTGAGTTCACTATATTGATCATATTTCCCTAAAGGTAAGGTAATTATTGAGAGAAAATCATTTGAGATTTTATTATCAGGCCATGTGCTGTGTGAATGGTTAACCTAAATTTTACTTAGCTTCCTCACAGGATTTTTTTTTTTTTCTTGGAGAAAACTTCACCTAAACCTCACTTACTCTAAATATGGGTGTTATAAGTACAAGGTCATTGGAAACATCATATTTGAATGAGGGAGGTATCTTAATTCCCACTT